CCCGAACCCCCTCACCGAATTTTTTTTTTTTTGCCAAAACGGGGGTGCGCATAACGACCTTCCCCCCATAACTTGAAATGCGCGATTTAGGAGGGGGGCGGATTTTTTTAGAGACCCCCCAAAAAAGGAAATAACACCCCCCCCAAAAATTATTAATTTTTTTTTTTTACCCCTCAATGCTGCAGGACCGACCTGCGCAAGCGGCGCCCGCACGCGGTTTCTCTGCGCGCGCCCCCGCCCGACCGCGCGCGAACTCGGCTGCGCGGCCTAGGCCGCGGGACCATGGCCGGCCTCCTCCGCTGCAGCCGAGGGTGCCACGTAGCTCCTGACTAGTCCGGTCGCTTTGATATTTGCCTAAAATATTAAAATGGGGCTGGAAATGAACACGTTCGTGTCCTAATGTCTAAGCCGACCACGTACTTCAGTACCTTTATTCTCAAACCGGTCGACGGTGATTTGATGTATGATATCGTCTTCCCCCTTATGCATCGCATACTATACACACACTACAGGACGGTCGCTCGGGACGGCGTCTGGCGCCTAGTCGTGTCACCGCCCTATTTTGTCTCCGATGGCGGGAATTTATCTGCCATGTTTTATCCTTGCAGATACTGATCCAGCGATGAGTATCGTTCGTTATTTTTTCCTATGTTTCTTCGTTGTTGGAGAGAGACAAAATAATGGTTTCAATGGTTGTACATTTTGTGTATACATATGCAATCGTCATCTCCCATGTGTTTGTTATATGTTTTCGGTTTTATTTTATTCGCCTGCTTTGCGTTCTGAAATTTGTTTTCGTTTTCGTTATGTGGAGGTACAGTACTAAGGTAATCGCTGCCGGTAATGTTATGTTTTGTAGATTTCTAAAAATTCACACATAAGCGACATAACAATATTCACCCTTTCCCATACATGGACCACCGATGACGCAGGGTTGGTGTGCGGGCCGACGCAATCGTATTTGGAAACGGGACAGATACTGATCCTTTCCGCGACAAGGAGCTGACAATCGCCGAGCTTAGGAGTCGGTGGCCGGGACCTGCAGCGTTTTTGGAGGAGGCTTTGGCTTTTGCTGGGTTGGAGGAGCATCTGCAACAGTGCATGAATCTGCTTATTAGTCATGCAAATCTCGAACCAAAGCAAAATCGTTACAATGGATATGTCGTTTTTTCTCGGTTGTGCGGGTTCGTCGTTTTCCGACAAAGATTGCCAAATGAGTTCCAAACGGCAATGCGAGAACGATAGCCATATACAATCATTCGAGGTTTTTAGCTACGACAATGTGATCCTCCTGAAAATGCGCGCCCACGTCGACGTGCACGACGGTAAATGCTTCACGACACGAGAGATAGATAGATAGATTGGGGTGGAAGGAGAGAGAGAGAGAGAGAGAGAGAGAGAGAGAGAGAGAGAGAGAGAGAGAGAGAGAGTAGGCTTGCCTTCAGTCTGAGTACGTATGTCGGTCCGACTGTGTGTTTGCCTTGAGTGTGTGTGTGCGATCGTAAACTTAAGCGTATGGGTTACTTTTTGTGTGCCACTTAACGACCCGTGCATGTTCGACAGGCCATCAGGCCCGGTACTTACCTATTGTCGCGAGTTATTCAGATTGCATTATGTAAAATTTGGTTTACATGGTGTACATCCTTTTTTTTGTTTCTTATAATCCTCGATCTCTCATTTGAAGTTCATTTATTTCCGTTCGCAATTGTATGTCATTGTACCATTAGCAATGGAGTCTGAGCGATTCTAATCCTCGCTCTCGCCACTCGAGTTCAATCATTTAGTATTGCAACTGGATGTCATTGTATTATAGGATTAACGTGAAAATCTGAATTGGTTCGGCCATATAATGTAAAACAACTATTGCATATGAGCGTAAGCATGTGAAATATGGATGTATGTGTAACTCGACATTGGTCCGATAATATTTATACGCACAGAAAAAAAAAAAAAAAAAAAAAAAAAAAA